ATGTGGTGCGTATTTTTTCCGCGCTCATGTTAACGAATTAAAGTGTTCACTGCACACGGTTGCGGTCCGTCAGTGCGTTCCAGGAGAGATGGTTTTAGCACCGAGTCTATTTTTGCGGCGCTGCAAGCAAAGAATTAAAGTAACAGCGCATTGTTTGCAGTAAATATGAACATGGATTGACACGAAAACGTAGTAATTACACCATAAATGCATATATTAAAGTCTACTGTGTTTCACAGTCAACACATATGGTCTTTTGGCTAGGTTTAAAGGTAAAGAGCACTTTAAGATAAACAAGGAAAAATAGATGGCACTGGTCGAGGTAGGAAAACAAAGTTCTTTATGAACCGCAGGATTGCTTTTAATAAACGGTGATCGTTATCGGCAGATACTGCTTTCTGTGATCGGCGATCGGTGATCGGCCTCAAAAATCCTGATCAGAGCACCCCTATAACTGTCACTTTTGATCAATTTAATACATCCTTGCTGAATAAAAATATTAATGTCAATAAAAAAATCTTACTGACCCCAGACGTTTTAGATATTACACAATATTGCTCGTTTATATTGTAAAATATATATTTAAATAATGTATATTAAAAATATGTATTTATGCTCATTGTTTTAGAGGAGCTGGAACGCCTTCTTGGGGAGAGACCTGAAAAACTGAAGTCTCTTGGAGCTCACTTCAGTCTACCAAGCAGCCATACACATTCTCAACCTTTAAGAGTTGCCATGCATCCTGCTTACGGACACCAACCTGTCCATGACACTAGCGTCCCGCATCAGCAGTCTCTCTACAACCCTTTACCCTCTCAAACTGTCATCCCACCTCCCCCCTACTTATCCCCAGGCCCTTTATCTTTCTCATACTACCCTCCTGTCACCCATCAGCCCAGTGCCGGGCATCCCTCCAGTCCCAGGACAGGCTGCTTGGATTCCTCCTTACCAGCACATACCCCACCAAGCTACAGCACCGCCCTGCAGGCTGGTCACAGCGCTACAGCAAGCATGCAGGAGCTTCTGCTGGATGGAGAAACCAGTAATGATGTCGATGCATTAAATCCCAGCCTCACAGATCTACAACTACATGGTAAGATCGAGTTCGAAACATTAGTTGTTCACGACTTGTTCTCTGTTGTTCACGACTTGTTCTCTGTCTTTGTTTAAAGGGAATCTTTGGGAGGAGCTAAGGAATGACAGCCTCGCTCCGGATTCACTGGTAGTCATGGACAGTCCCAATCAAACACGGGATAGCGTGGGGGTCTGTGGGGGTTTAGCAGAGACTGATGGTGGGGTGCAAGGCAGCGTTTCTGAGCTTTATCTCAGTGGACTCTACACAACCCCTATTCCTCTGCTATGAGAAAAAAAAAAAAAAAAAAACCTGCATCATTTTTGCTGTCCAAAATAGAAAAAAGTTTATATTTTTGAATGTCTAAAAAGTATGATTTCTGTGCTAAATGGTGTGAGTTATAAAAATGACATTAGTTTTAATGCTTTTATTGCTTAAATGCAGTATGCTGTCCAATCCCACTAAACCAGTTTTTCTACACTGAAAAAATTGGTGCAGAATTAATTTTTACTCCGAAATTGCTAGGACATTTCACAATTAGTTAGCTACAAAGCAGGTAACAATTTAGTAGAAAAACTTACATACTCCAGTAATCTTTATTTTATTTACATTTTGGGAAAATCTTTTTTTTTATTTATTTTTTTTACAGTGTACCAACCTTTTTGACTCCAAGACCCCCATTAACTAGAAGAATATTCAAAGATGCCACTCACAATTTCTACCTGATAAAATATTCTAGAGCTTGGCATAACTAGAAAAATAAATATACATAATGAATGCCCATGAAGTTATAAGATTTCATTAATTCACATAACTTTTCTAGGCTTAGATCTTACCTTTATAATTAGGCTACCTCATATATCCAGGTTTTCCAGTAGGAATTGGGAAAAAAAGAGTTGTTGAGACGTTGAATTAAAATAAGAAATATCTTATTTCTTATATCTATATTGTAATGCATGTTTTTATCTTAAGTCGTTTTGAGTATAAGTTACAAGTTTGTGGAGTCCCCCTAGTGGGCTCTAAAATCCTTCCATTGGTATTTTTGGAAATTCCAAAAATTTCTGTAAGCATTTAATGCTCAAAATCACTTGAATGTGGCCTAAATTGTCTTATATTTTTTGCTGAAATTCAACAACATATTAATATTTAGTTGCTTTTGTGCAAGTGTTTTTTTAAAGTGTAAAAGTGTTTGAGTTGGTAATATTTTAATAAGGTGTTCTAGACTTATCATATAGTTAGTATTGATTGTTGTTTGCATTTGCCATGGCATCCACTGGGGGATGTGGTTGCCTCTTTTTATACTGTCTTTCCATAGCAACACACTGAAAGCACTATAACAAGTTAAAACAGATCTCCTGTATTGTAGGATTTTACTAGATCTCTTCAAGCATAGGTTAAAGTTATTTTTGTTTGTCAAAATTCTTCAAAAGGTTCATAATACAGTACCTGAGGTAGGCTCATCTGATCTACTGCACTACCATAACTGAATCTTAAGACAGATGCATATACGATCACAACATATAAGGCATTTGTGTTATAATAATACACTGTATACAACAGATCAATGCATTTTGCTGTATTGTAATTGATTTGAACATGTAGCATATAGCAATGTTTATTACTGTAAATTATTATTTTTGCCCTTGGTTGTATCATATATTATTCTTTTGACTATCTACAGAACTATAAACTTTGCGGTTAGTCAGATTTTTTTTTTTTAAAGAAATCAATATTTTTATTCAGTAAGGACACATTCAATTGATCAAAAGACATTTACATTGTTTCAAAAAATGTATTTCAAATAAATGCTGTTTTTTAATTTATCTTTATCAATTAAAAAAAAAAAAAAAAACTCCCACAAAATATTAAACAGCACACCTTTTGTCAGTGTTAATAATAATAAATGTTTCTTGAGCACTACATCAGCAAAATTACATTTTAAAATATAGTCAAATAGAAGTTTTTTTTAAATTGTAATATTTCACAATATTACTGTTTTTACTATAATTGTGAACAAATAAATGCAGCCTTGGAGAGCATAAGAGACTTATTATGAAATATTCTTACCTGTCCCAAACCTTTGGATGATAGTGTACAGTTTAAATATTGTTTTATCTGAATGAAACCACTATGGAGGAGTTTTATGTGTAAAATAAATGAAAAATCAAACTTATGATGATTTAAAGAACTTTGGAATTTTTATTTTTCTATTTTTTGTTAAATCACATGAAACAATTGACAGCGATATCTATCACTATTATTTGACAAAAGATGCTATTAAAAATATGTGTGACAATGTATATCAATATAAATAAGAGCATATTAATATAAATAACATAGATTTACATCATCGACCAAATTATGAGCATTCAAAAATGAAAGTGAGAAAAATAAAGCAAAACAAGGCCCTTCTGTAGAGGCCAACAGGAAGTGGGTGCAATGTCAGCGCAAAATACACAGTTCCTGACAGTATCCCTTCCTTTACACACTGCATTGGTCACTGTATCTCCAACCCACTCAACATGATGCTCTTTTTATGCTTTAGAAGCCTTGAGCGACATCGCTGTATGAACATTTAGTCAAAAATCAGGGTTGTTTAGAATTATTTCACACACACACACACACACACACACACACACAAATCCTGAGATTGGGGTGTTTTTTGTTTGTTTTAACCAAATGCATCATCACATATAAGATTAGATGCCTAGATGCCACTTTCCTCTGCCGGTCCATTGCAACTCAATGCAGAAGGTGAGAATGGCTTCCTACGATCCACCGTTGTAAGAATAATCTGCCTTATTGTGCATCACAAGCTTGTTGTCCACAAAGTAAAAGCTGTCAGATTGCGTCTCATAAGGGTGAAGGATAATTTCACGCACTATGGAGGGATACAAGAAACACAGTGTCACATATTAGGTCCAGCCAAAAGATCACAAACTAATTAACAGCAAACAGTTGATAAAAACATTTAGAACGTACTTATTTCTTCAGAGAGTGATGGGAACTCATAGATGTGTTCACAGGTGTTCTTACTGCTCGGGATGCAGAAACCAAACTCAAAGTCAAAGCTCTTCAGCAGCTGCCCATGGAAATAGTGCCTCTCGATCATTCGGAAGTTGTTGATGGGAACATCGCCTACAGTGAACTCCACCCTGTGGAGGTGGGAAAGGACACATTTAAGGGGACATGGATTTGTAGCAATGAAAATAGCTCCTTCCATGTTATAGGGTTGATTTGATGTTTTAGAAAGAAGTCTCTAATGCTCAGCAAGTCTGAATTTATTTAATCAGAAATACAGTAAAAACAGTAACATTTTGAAATATTATTACAACTGAATTTTGTTTTGGGCTTAATACGGTTAAAAGTGTAATTTATTCCTGTGATGGCAAAGCTGAATTTTCAGCATCATTACTCCAGTCTACAGTGTCAAATGATTATTCAGAAATCATTCTGATATACAGATTTTTCTTCTTATTATCAATGTTGAAAACAGTTGTGCTGCTTAATATTTTAATGGAAATTGTGATACTTTATTTCAGGGTTCTTTGATGAATAGAAATGTCAAAAACAGCATTTATTTGAAATAGACATTTAATAACATTATAAATGCATTGTCTGTCCGTTTTGATTAATGTAATGCATCCTTGCCGAATAAAAGTATAAATAATTATAAAACTTTTGAATGGTAATGTACAGAATGTTTATTTCTACCACACCTTTAAGACGTCTATGTAAAAATTTTTGTCACATGTGAAATGTAATACAGCTTATACAATATATTTTCTTCCCCATCCTTTAATAACAGTCACTTTTATAGCCTCTTGTATTAGATTGTGACAAGTTCACAAAACAGCTATAAATAATATAAAATATAGTTTATAAAGCCACTTCACTTTCTTATTTTAACCTTTATCTCACAATTACCTTACTAAACCAATTTTTTATTACATTTTCCTCTTATCATTAGTTATCTTTGGTTATTCTTGTGTGTAGGACTAATGGTATCCTATTTTCTTCTCATTACTGCCTTTGACAAGATGGGTCATGTGTTACAGTGCTGTAACATGGTCTTTTTTAACTTGGAAGGAAGTTGTGAATCAGTATGTTTTTTAAAGTATAATTAAGCCATTTATCTGAAAATATCAAGAAAAACTCGATACATCATAATATGACCCCTTTAAAGATTAAGTCAAACAGATTGTGAAGTGTGATTTCAGGCTAATTTTAGGTTGCAATTAAGATCAAGTGTAATCCTGCCACTGATTGCACTTACGTGGCGCCAACCTGGCGTAGTCGGAGGAAAGCGGGCGTGAACTGGTAACGCACAAAGCGCCCGGCGTTCTGGTCAAAGTCCGTTCTGCCCTCCCCACTCTCTGTGAATCAGAAAGGGGTTGGCATTACCGAATGAGCCTTTGAAGGGCTCTTGTGCAGTGCACTGCATCTAAATGGAAATCAGGGCTTTATGGGAAAAAAAAATCAAAACGAGCCTTGCATTTAAATGTGCAGTCTGTGTAGGTGGAGTGAGGAAGTGAATTTGAGAGGTCTGCTGGCTCCTTGCCTACCTGCTGTAGGGGGTTTGGTGATCTCAAAAAGAACCGTGCCTGTCTCCATGTCTCGGATTTTGAACCTGGTGAAGTCGATCTTGTGTATGTTCTGCTCTGGACCACAGAGGTAATCTATGGAAACAAAAACAAACCAGGATGTGCCTCAGTTCTGACTCTCATTAGGTCATCATTTGTAAGATAATGAAATACGAATGGATCATTAACACAATGTGATTCTCTTCAGACTTGTCGTAACATTTCAAAATATAAAGCTAACCACTTTTTAACACTGGTTATGTGTGTGTGACATAGGTCACATGCATCAAAGATATGCCTCAGGGCTGAGAGCCCTACCCTTGTGTGATAGACTGCAGGGACAAAAAGAGCTATTTCTGTTCTCTCTGATGTTGTGTGGAAATGACATTGATGATGACCATACACCTCCTCGATTAATTACCTGCCTGCAGAGACTGATACTGTTCAGAAATACTGTCAGAACAACAGGAAAAGAGATATACTGACAGACAAACATTAATAAACACATAATATTCCTACTGATTAAAAATGTAAGTTTGCTTTAACAGTGTGCTTGTGCTGTTTTGTGTAAAAAATGGCAGTTGGTTGGATGTTTTGCTTTAGAAATAATGTGCTATAGTATAATGACAATAATAAAGTAGCGTGTGTGTGTGTGTATATATACACTGAACAAAATTATAAACGCAACACTTTTGTTTTTGCCCCCATTTTTCATGAGCTGAACTCAAAGATCTAAGACTTTTTCTATGTACACAAAAGGCCTATTTCTCTCAAATATTGTTCACAAATCTGTGTTAGTGAGCACTTCTCCTTTGCCGAGATAATCCATCCACCTCACAGGTCTGGCATATCAAGATGCTGATTAGACAGCATGATCATTGCACAGGTGTGCCTTAGGCTGGCCACAATAAAAGGCCACTCTAAAATGTGCAGTTTTATCACACAGCACAATGCCACAGATGTCGCAAGTTTTGAAGGAGCGTGCAATTGGCATGCTGACTGCAAGAATGTCCACCAGAGCTGTTGCCCATGAATTGAATGTTAATTTCTCTACCATAAGCCGTCTCCAAAGGCGTTTCAGAGAATTTGGCAGTACATCCAACCGCAGCTCATGAAAAATGGGGGCAAAAACAAAAGTGCTGCGTTTATAATTTTGTTCAGTGTATATATATATATATATATATATATCAGAGCATTGCCTTTGTACTTTTGACTTTTATGATGGCTGTTGATGTTTATTAATTATTATTATATACTAACTAATATTTTATATAACAGTAGTAATTATTTATTAATAGTATTTAGTTTTGGGAAACGGTGTGTATGTGTTTGTGACAGTGATTTTAGTTACATTATTCCGACATTAGATGGCAACAAGAGACTGTTTTATGAGTGAGTCAGCAGTAAAGACTTTTATATTGAAAGAGGCTGAAACAGGGTTGTAAACAAGATAGTATTTTTACTTTCAACAACACCTTGTAAGATGCAGCCAACAAATGCACTGAGCAATGCTGTCATTGGAAATCATTAACAGATGAAAGGATAGTACAACAAAGATATCGCTTTCCTCAGCGGACATTCAAACTAGGGCTGCACGATAAATCGCATGCGATATTTAATGCGCATCTTGTCAGTAAAGTCGCTTCTGTAATCAGCGGTAAATCTCCATCACGTGCGGGCTTTCACATGGAGCAGCATTTACTACACAGAGCCGTTGTTCACTGACAAGCTGCGCAAAAAATCGCGCGATTATGAACGTGGTGTTGCGCAGCTTGCCTGTGAACAACGGCTCTGTGTAGTAAATGCTGCTC